AACCCACCCCAATTTTTTTGTTACGGGTTTTTAAATAAGAAAAATGTATTTATAAATTAGAAATGATTTTTGCCTTTTTTTGCCAGGTCCCAGCAATGTTTTAGAAATGCTGGAGTATATATGAAACTCCTTGAAACACGGTGTAAGATGAGTGTCACTCCACTGCTGACAGTGCAGCAGTGGAATGACATTTGATGATTATGCACTGCCTTGGCTTTATTTTTCACTATTACACATAAATGTGTCTGTCTGTCTGTTTGTTTCTGTCTATCTGTGTTTCTATCTGTCTGGTCAATCTGTCTAGCTCTGTCTGTTTATCTCTGTCTCTGCTTATCTGTCTTTCTGTCTGCCTGTGTCTCTGTCTTCCTGTCTCTCTACTTATCTCAGTCTCAGAGAGAGAGCCTCTCATGAACCAACAGGTATTACACACGATGTAGAGTCATCACGTCTGATTCCTGAACAAGTGAAAACGTATATTACTCGCTAGTCATGCTTATTATGCCTTATATCTACGTACAAGCATAGTATAGCACTTTGTCTGGAGTTTTTAGTTATCCTAGGTAATTTACACTATGTATAACTGTGTACCTGTGAGACAGACAGAGATAGACAGAGATAGAGACAGACAGACACACACAGACAGAACATGTTCCAGAATTGTTTCTCTTTACTTAGGGCATACATTATAGAACATTCTGGCGGGATGACATTACCAGTGGTATCAAAATTGAAAGGATGTTACACATTAGTTATTATCAAGGTTTTTGACATTTCCTCGGTATCTCCTGCAAGTGGCGGCGTATCTGAAGCTCGCTCGTAACTTGGATTTTGCCTCACAACTCAAAGCAAAAAATCGACCAACTGAGAGCTCATAATCGGAAAACTCATAAGTTGGGGCACTCGTAAGTCAAGGTACCACTGTATATTATTTTTTCACTTTCAAATGCATATAAAAACCTGATTAAATGTTTACACTATCATATATTAAGTGAGCAATAGTGCTAAGCCTTTAGGTTGGTAGACAGCAGTTGTCCAGGGAGGTACGTGTACTACCATCCTGTCAAGTGAGTGTGAAATGGAATCCTGTAATAGTTTTACATGATGGTAGGATTGCTGGTGTCTTTTTTTTTCTGTCAGGTATGTCTTGCTACTTCTGCTTATACGTACTTAGGTCACACTAAACATGCATGTACAAGCACATATATACTTACCCCTCTGGGTTTTCTTTTATTTTTGTACTAGTTCTTGTTCTTGTTAATTTCCGCTTATCTCCATGGGAGAGTGGAACAGAATTCTTCCTCCATAAGCCATGCGGGTTGTAAGAAGCAACTAAAATGCCGAGAGCAAGGGGCTAGTAACCCCTTTTCCTGTATATATTACTAAATTTAAAAAGAGAGACTTTCATTTTTATTTTTGGGCCACCCTGCCTTGGTGGGATATGGCCAGTTTGTTGAAGAAGAAGGGAAGAACTAAGCCAAAAAAACGCATATACAGTACTTAATAGTACCATCCGATTTACAACATGCTCGACATAAGACCACTTGTCCTTATGACTGTGCACCTGGCAGCAGGGCTGGGCGGGCTGATGCATACCACCATACAACAGTTGACTGCTTCTCGCGGCAACGAGCCATCTCGGGAGAGCTCTCACATCACTCAGGCAGCATCACTTTGAGTTATCCTGCCCTATCAGCAGCATCATACTGTATTAACTGTACTGTACTGTACTGTATATATAAAATACAGTACTAAAAGCATAAAAAGTAAAGTAAAAAATTAAATACAAAAATAATCAAAATAAAATCATTACAATAGCTGTTATGTTGATATACAGTAGTAAAATATTTAGTAAAATGTAACATACAATACTTATGTAGGTACTTTATATAGCAAAGGTTTGACATTATGCCCTATCCAGTATGTCGGCAATTTTCTAAGGTTCGACTTGCGTCCATTTTGACTTATGTTGGTTGGAACCAGGCTCGGATGTAAGCCGGATGGTACTAGCACCTTAAAATATTTTCATACTTAGCTTATAGTGAGTGATGAATATATTTATTGTTGGTAGCCTGAATATATAAAGAATGGGTGTATATACTGTAATTGAAAACAGCTGTATTGTTGAAGTGCTGTAAAGCAGGGCCTTCCTGTACAAGGAACACTTATGATATTACAATTGTTAAGGGTGTAATATTCCTCAAAACATTGAAATTAGTCATAGAAAAGATTATGCTCTTTTCTAGCATCACTCAGTATACTTAACTCCCTGCTGGTTTGGCTTCACACCAAATAGAAACACAAATGATACAATTATAAAAATGCTAGACTTCTTTTACAGTGCATGCTACATTTACGAGGCAGTCAATTCTAATATCAATCCTGCCCTGAAACTCTTTCTTGATAGCTGCAATAGAACTCATAGGCATAATACTAGATACAAAAAATCTCTGATATTCTTCATGTTTGACTCAGCCTGTGTAAAAACTCAGTGTGCTTAATCTTGAACTGTTTGTTCGAAAATTCCAGAGGTTCCCTATCTGCCAACCACTTTAAAGCTACTGTTAAAAAACACCTCCTTACCTCAATCCTAGCAACAATCTGTAATGTTGAACAAATCCTGAAACCCTCTGTCTCATCCAATATTGTTCCTAATCTTGTTCCATCCTTCCTCCAACTCTCATTTATTACTAGAAAGGCATTCTTTGTATCAATTCAGGTACCTAACTTCATCCTTAATTTTTTTTAGTATTTCTAATTAGAATTTTATATTGAATTACTGTATACCTTCAATATATAAACTAAGTATTTTTATTCTCGTGTACTATGTTTCATTGTCCAGTAATTATAAGATAGTTTTAAGGCTGCCCGAAATACCTTGCATAATGAGGGGCTTTCTATAAAATAGTTTATACATGTCATTTATCCTAATTGTATGCTATACAATACTCCATTTTATAGAAATAAAGTTGTTCCTGGTCACAGACCGGGCCGCGGGGGCGTTGACCCCCGGAACTCTCTCCAGGTAAACTCCAGGTAAACAGTGGACCCTCGGTTATCGGCCGTAATCCGTTCCAGAAGCTCGGCCTAAAACCAAAATGGCCGAAAACTGAAATAATACATACTTCCCATAAGAATTAATATAAATACAATTAATCCATTCCAGACACCCAAAAATATTCACAAAAAATCATTTTTTTTTTTAAAGATTAATTATACTAGTTTTACATACACAAGACAATGAGAACTAAATAAAATAAATGCATAAACAATTAAATCAGTATTACATACCTTTATTGAAGACTCTTCTTGGTTTATGGAAGATAGGGAGGAGGAGAGAGGCTTGAGAGTCACTGTCCTTGCAACTCACATTCTCCCCTCTCTCTTCCTCCTCCTCTGAAGCAGTTTCCTCAGCTATGGTCTGTTGCTGTTCCAGAGGAAGGTCTTGCAGCTCTACTCTCTACCACCATCACTACCACCCTCTACCATCATCACTACCACCCTCTACCACTATCACTACCACCCTCTACCACCATCACAATCACCCTCTACCACCATCACAACCACCCTCTACCACCATCACAACCACCCTCTACCACCATCACAACCACCCTCTACCACCATCACAACCACCCTCTACCACCATCACAACACCTCTACCACATCACAACCACTACCACCCTCTACCACTATCACTACCACCCTCTATCACTTCTACCCTCTACCACCATCACAACCACTACCACCATCACAACCACAACCACCCTCTACCACTACCATCCTCTACTACCATCACAACCACTACCACCCTCTACCACTATCACTACCACCCTCTACAACCACCACTCCTGTACTTTGCTACAAATTCTTTTTTTAAATTCTATTATATTTCTCACTTTCTTTACCAAAGGAACTTTCTTCGGAGCCATGGTTATTTCGCAGTTGCACTTCAAAAAACCACCAAAAACAATGAATGTAGAGCGAAATGTTTGGATGAATGAGCAGAAGCTTCCTCATATGCCCAGAGACACAGCCAAACTGACATGCAAGTGGCTAGGCAGGCAGATGGACGTGTCCCATACAGCCAATAAACGAAATGACAGCTGATAACCGGTAGCCAAAAAACCGGCGGCCTATAACCGAGTTGGCTGATAACAGGAACAACTGATAACTGAGGGTTCACTGTATTTGGCTCTACTAGGTTAACTATTAACGTTATATACAGTATGTATTTAGGTTCGAGAGAATATCCTGGATTATATAAACATAATGTAATTTCTATGTGCCTAAAACCTGTGTCTTCAAGACCACTATAAAACATTTATTTACTAGAAAATCTTATATTACAATTGTTTCAAGGTGTCATACTCATCAAAATGTGAAAATAAGTCACACTGATTATATTGGGTTAAATCTACATAGTGTGCTTTGTGGCTGAATTCCATTGTTTGTATCATGATATTGTAATAAATTTGAAATGAATAAGGCAACTTCCTGCCAGTATTACACCCAGCTTTCTGGTGGGGGAGCCGGTGGTGGAGCAACTGGTCCTGGTGTCAACCATGGTATACTTTGTGGACCTATCAGTTGTAGAGCACCACAACTTTAGTTTTCAAGATTGGAATTTTCACTAGACTCTAGAAAACATCAAAATTCAGGCAACAAAATTTCCAAGACTCCACACATGCATTGGACAGAAGCTTGTATAAACAAAAACCAGCATGTTGTTAACTCTTGGAGTAATAATTTGAAAAGTCTTCATATCAAGCATGTTAAAGAAGTTACAAGAATCAGAGTTTTTTTCATTACAATTCCCCTACAGTTAATGTATTTGGTTTAGTATCCAGAATGCAGTATGTGTGTTATTTAGTTAGAACTTTAGAAAATTCATTAATCAAAGGTTTTTGGCTTTCATATACAGTTTACTTGGTATCATGAAAATTATAATTGATGTTCTTTTAAGTTTGCAAGAATGCTACTTTTAATGCAAAACCTCTCAACAGGAAGCCATCATTGACCAGTTGCCAGAAGCAGTTGGATGTATTCTGCAAGATGCTATCAACAAGGCAAACCAAGGTCTTATGAATTGGGTCTTCAAACACAAGTCTATGAAGCTCTTGTCAATACTCACATTGCCCTATATCTTACCCATCGATGTTGCATATGCTGCCTTCCTCAAGTGAGTGTTTTTAATTTTCTTTAATTCTTGAAGCAATGATTCACTGTTTATATGATGGGGGTTCTGTTGGTGTTACACTTACATAATCTGTTTGGATATGTATATACAGCATTGTATGTTCTGTGCATGTATTTTCTTATATGTACTCTTCTATATGGGGTTACTAGAGTTGAGTCTTAGTTCCTGATCCTGCCTCTCAGTGTGCTGCTTTTCAGATTCACTCCCTCCTAGCCTCATGGGCTCTTATTGTACCTGTTATTAAAACTATGTACATATAGAATCTGCCTCCATCACATCTTTATTGAGATCATTCTACCTCCCAACCACTCTGTGACTGTAGAAATCCTTCCTAACATCTCTGTGACTTATCTGTGTCTTTAACTAACAGTTGTGTCCCAGAGTACTGTTTCTTGCCTCAAAACAACCAGTTCCTGTCCATCCTATCAATTCCTCTTGAGTATTCTGTATGTTGTTATCATGTCTGCCGTGGTTCTTCTATCCTCCAATGGCATTAGATTCACTTCAGTTAGTTTCTCATCATTGCTCATACCCCTTAGTTCTAGAACAAGCCTCATTCTATGCTTCTGTACTTTCTTCATTTTCTTAACATTTTCAGGTGTGGACTCTATACTGGTACTGCATACTCCAAGATGGGCCTGGACATATGTTGTATAAAGGGCTCAGAAAAACTGTTAAAGATTCCTGAAGGCCACTCTTTAGATTTGCCAGACAAGCATTGGCTGCATAGGTCATTTAGCTCGTGTGAGCCTCTTGGTAATATACCATCTACTGTGCTTACCCCTAGGTCTTTCTCTTTGAGTGAGGTCTGCAGCCTCTGTCCTCTGAGTTTATAATCCATGTTTGATTTTTCTTGCCCCTTCTCCAATCTGCATTACCTTGCCTTTGCTGGAGTTGAATTAAAGCAACCACTTATCTGACCAATCTTTCAGTTTGTCCATATCTGTTTGGAGTCTATCTCTGTCCTCTGTGTTTATTCTCCTTATTAATTTTTCATCATCAGCAAATAATGATACATCTGACTTAATCCCAACTGGTATATCTTATGCATAAACCAGAAAGAACACTGGTTCTAATACTGATCCTTGTGGAACCCTCTTAGTTAGTCTTCTCCATTCTGATGTGTCTTTGTATCTTCCCTGACAATCACTCTGCAATCCATCTATTCCTTTATTTCATGCCTCACATCTGTTACTTTGTCACAGAATCCTAACAGGTTGGTAAAAAGATTTGTTATCTCTGCACCTGTGCTGATTATTGTTTATGAAACCACTTCTCTCCAAGTGTTCTACCACTCTCAAACTGATAATTACTAATCCATTATATGCCTTGCATGGTATGCATGTCAAAGAAATTCCTTTCTTAAATTAGGGGCTATATTTGCTGTCGTCCAGATCTCTGGCAACTGTCTTGTATTCATTGACTTGTAGATCTTAGCTAGTGGTTCAGATAGTGCTTCTGCTCCCTCTTGCAGAATCCATGGTGTCATCTGGTTAGGTTCCTTTGCCTTTGATGTACCCAGATCCAACAAAAGTTACTTTACCTCTTACCCCTTTTGTGCATATGGCATCCAGTACCTGTTATTGTACCCTGTTTCCATAGGCTTGCTGGCATTGCCCCATTTCCACTGAGATCTCTTCAAATCATTCAGTCAGCACTTCACTGACTGTCATGTCATTTTTTGTGAACTGTTCTCCCTTCTTTAGTTGAATTACTTGGTATTTTACAGTTGTCTTTCTTGACTCACGAAATCGTAATGACACGATTGCAAACATACCATACCACGGGTGGGGTTTGATCCCGCGGTCAGAGTCTCAAAACTCCAGACCGTCGTGTTAGCCAGTGGCTAACGCGACAGTCTGGAGTTTTGAGACTCTCTGACCACGGCCCTTGCTGCTATGTCGTTCTCAAGTTTTTGCTGAGTCTGGCCTTGCCTATTTGTACTTTCCTATTTATGGTTACAGAGGTTTAGTCTTGGCTCCTAGTCCTGCCTCTTAACTGGCCATTACTGGCTTTATCCCCTTCCAGCCTTGTGAGTCCTATCATACTTATTATCAGAGCTAGGTATGGACCTTGCCTCTACCACTTTATTTGTCCAGATCATTTTACCTTTGACCGTTTTGAGGCTGAAGAAATACTTCCTGACATCCTTGTGACTATCTGCACTACCTCTAAAATTCTATCTCAAATCTGTCACGACCTCCGAGTATTTAGTATGCCATTATAATTTTTTCCATGTGTGTACACTCATACAGGTGTGTACATACACACGTACCTATACTTACATATACGTACACATACATATACTTTGTACATTTATGTAAATGTAATGTAAATCCACTATCAGGCAAAATATTCAGAAAGCTAAATTAAATATTTTGGCCTGCATCTGAGGTTCTCCTCAGCAAAGAAGCAGGCAGCTGCTTTATAGTGATGAGATAGAGGAATTGGAGTTCAGCATGGGATGGTCAGAATCATGGGTCATGCTGAAATAAGAAATACTTGTGTAGGTTGCCATCCTGTCAGAGATTAGCTAGTTTTTGACCTTATGACATGCCTTGCTTCTTGTAGATAGCCAGCCTTGCATTCCAGGTAAGGATGGGACATGGATGGGAATATAAGGTTGATCTGTACTACTGTGGCAACAAGGAAGAGAGCAATGAAAGGAGTCATTGTGTCTCGTAGAGCTGCAGAGAGCATTTAACAGTTAATATGCAGTACCCACCTGAGGGCTAAACAGCCAGCATTGTTAGTGCTACAGCTCCATAATTGCTAAGCACTGACCCACCTGATATACTGTAGCTGATGGGAGGGAGAGGCAGTTAGACTTGGTTTTGACCACTTTCCAGGTTTAATGGTGGTGACTGAGGTAGTTGAATGAAGGTCTCCTTTAAAGATGTGCATTTCTTAGAGCTCCAGTTGATGGTAGATATTTTCCAGTGAGCAAGACTAGTAGAGGAAGGATGAGTCGTGTAGTGTGAATTTATTGAGTTATGATGACTGTCGTAATCTTTTTATGCCAGGTATAGACATTGAAAGGTCAAGCTTGCTAAATATTTAAAAATACAGTATATTATTTTACTTGCATTTAATTTTTCATGCAAATTCCATGGAGTGTTGGTTATGACATATACTTATTATTACATTCATGGTAAAATAATTTGTGATTATATACTGTAAGGACATATTTGTATATGAGCTGTCAAGTAATTGATTAAAAATCAGTTCAGCAAATTTTTTAGCAAAGATAATAAAGTGATAAACAGGAAAGTTATATTGTACATACAGTAGTTATATTGTACATACAGTAGTTATATTGTACATACAGTAGTTATATTGTACATACAGTAGTTATATTGTATACAGTAGTTATATTGTACATACAGTAGTTATATTGTACATACAGTAGTTATATTGTACATACAGTAGTTATATTGTACATACAGTAGTTATATTGTACATACAGTAGTTATATTGTACATACAGTAGTTATATTGTACATACAGTAGTTATACTGTACATACAGTAGTTATATTGTACATACAGTAGTTATACTGTACATTCAGTAGTTATACTGTACATACAGTAGTTATACTGTACATACAGTAGTTATACTGTACATACAGTAGTTATACTGTACATACAGTAGTTATACTGTACATACAGTAGTCATACTGTACATACAGTTAAGTCTATACTGTACATACAGTAGTTATACTGTACATACAGTAGTTATACTGTACATACAGTAGTTATATGTACTAGATATCATCAGTAGTTATACTGTACATACAGTAGTTATACTGTACATACAGTAGTTATACTGTACATACAGTAGTTATACTGTACATACAGTAGTTATACTGTACATACAGTAGTTATACTGTACATACAGTAGTTACACTGTGCATACAGTAGTTATATATACAGTAGTTACACTGTACATACAGTAGTTACACTGTACATACAGTAGTTATGTCTATTACTGTACATACAGTAGTTATACTGTACATACAGTAGTCATACTGTTACATAAACAGTAGTTATACTGTACATACAGTAGTTATACTGTACATACAGTAGTTAACTGTACATACAGTAGTTATACTGTACATACAGTAGTTAACTGTACATACAGTAGTTATACTGTACTACAGTAGTTACTGTCATACAGTAGTTATACTATACAGTAGTTATACTGTACATACAGTAGTTACCTGTGACATACAGTAGTTATATGTACATACAGTAGTTACTACTGTACATACAGTAGTTATATGTACATACAGTAGTTATATGTCATACAGTAGTTATACTGTACATACAGTAGTTATACTGTACATACAGTAGTTATACTGTACATACAGTAGTTATACTGTACATACAGTAGTTATACTGTACATACAGTAGTTATATTGTACATACAGTAGTTATACTGTATCGATACAGTAAGTTATATATACAGTAGTTACTGACTACAGTTAGTTTAAGTATACATGTAATACAGTAGTTATATCTGTACATACAGTAGTTAGCTACGTTAATCACAGTGTACAGTACATAAGTAGTATATGTACATACAGTAGTTACACTGTGCATACAGTAGTTATATATACAGTAGTTACACTGTACATACAGTAGTTATATTGTACATACAGTAGTTACACTGTGCATACAGTAGTTATATATACAATATAGTTTATTAATGACCTGTACATACAGTAGTTATACTGTACATACAGTAGTTACTTATCGTATTTATTGTACATACAGTAGTTTATAATACATGTTAATGTACAACAGTAGTTATACTGTACATACAGTAGTTATACTGTACATACAGTAGTTATACTTGTACATACAGTAGTTATACTGTACATACAGTAGTTATACTGTACATACAGTAGTTATACTGTACATACAGTAGTTATACTGTACATACAGTAGTTATACTGTACATACAGTAGTTATACTGTACATACAGTAGTTATACTGTACATACAGTAGTTATACTATACATACAGTAATTATGATGTACATACAGTAGTTATACTGTACATACAGTAGTTATACTGTACATACAGTAGTTATACTGTACATACAGTAGTTATACTGTACATACAGTAGTTATACTGTACATACAGTAGTTATATGTACATACAGTATTATACTGTACATACAGTAATATATACTGTACATAACAGTAGTTATACTGTACATACAGTAGTTATACTTGTACATACAGTAGTTATACTGTACATACAGTAGTTATACTGTACATACAGTAGTTATACTGTACATACAGTAGTTATACTGTACACACAGTAGTTATACTGTACATATACAGTGGAACCTCAAAAATCGAACGTATCACATATCGAACGTTTCAAAAATAAGACCATTTTTTTGGACAAACTGTGTCCCTATTATCGAATGTGCCCCTATTTTCGGACCGCCAGGTATGGGACCTGTCCGCTGACCCGCTCTGTCCGCGTCCCCGCGCAGGCGCCGTGAGCAGTCTAGCTTTGTTTATGCTTGAGTGAACACTAACCTGCGATCTCATTCACACATTTTACGATTATTTAATTGTGTTTAGTGCTTGTGGGGCTGTGAAATAAGCTGCCATGGCCAAAGAACTTGCTAGCGGTACCCCTGTGGTAAGAAAGTGAGAAACACCATGGATGTGAAGAAGGAAATATACAGGTATGAGATTGGAGGAGACTTGTTGGCTGCCAGGAGTACAGACGACTGTGGACAGTTATTTTGTGAGACAAAACAGACGACTGTGGACAGTTATTTTGTGAGACAGAAAAGATGACTTGTGGAGTTATTTTGTGAGACAAACAGACGATTGTGGACAGTTTTGGGACAGAAACAGACGACTGTGGACGAGTTATTTTGTGAGACAAACAGAGATGTGGACAGTTATTTTGTGAGACAGAATACAGACAATGTGGAGTTATTTTGTGTGACAAACAGACGATTGTGGACAGTTATTTTGTGAGACAGAAACAGACAACTGTGGACAGTTATTTTGTGAGACAAACAGACGACTGTGGACAGTTATTTTGTGAGACAGAACAGATGACTGTGGACAGTTATTTTGTGAGACAAACAGAGACGTGGAGTTATTTGTGACGAAAGACGACTGTGGACAGTTATTTTGTGAGACAGACAACTGTGGACAGTTATTTTGTGAGACAGAAACAGACGACTGTGGAGTTTTGTGAGACAAACAGACGATTGTGGACAGTTATTTTGTAAGACAAACAGACGACTGTGGATAGTTATTTTGTGAGACAGAAACAGACGACTGTAGACAGTTATTTTGTGAGACTGGGGTCCAATGACTCTCAAGCTGGTCCTAGTGGCATTAAAATACAGAGAAGGGAAGCAACCCCAGAGAGGGCTTTGATACCGGAAGTCCTCATGGTGGGGGATTCTCCTTCCAAACAATAACCCCAACTCCCTCTCTCCTCCTCCCTATCTTCCAGATGCCATCACCAATCTTCAATAAAGGTAAGTAAAAATGTTATTTTATATTACTATACATAATTAAAGGTTATAGCATTTGTTGTGTGTATGTAAAACTAATTAATCTCTATAAAATGTATTTTTTTTTGTGAATATTTTTGGGTTTCTGGAACGGATTAATTGTATTTCCATTATTTCTTATGGGAAATGTTGCTTCGAATTTCAGACTTTTCGAATTTAGAACTAGCTCCTGGAACGGATTAAGTTTGAAATTTGAGGTTCCACTGTAGTAGTTATACTGTACATTTTTCATTAGCAAACCTAGACTGAAGAAGTATGGGTACTGTATGCAGTCCTCCATCCTAGAATTCTACCTGAAATTTGAGGTTAGAATCTTTATAAAAGTAGCAAAATATTTATAAATATATTCTAACTTTTTATAGGTAGTAAGGTGGTAGACAGCAACCACCCAGGGAGGTACTACCATCCTGCCAACTGAGTGTAAAATGAAAGCCTGTAATTGTTTTACATGATGGTAGGATTGCTGGTGTCTTTTTTTTCTGTCTCATGAACATGCAAGATTTCAGGTATGTCTTGCTACTTCTACTTACACTTAGGTCACACTACACATACATGTACAAGCACATATATACACACCCCTCTGGGTTTTCTGCTATTTTCTTTCTAGTTCTTGTTCTTGTTTATTTCCTCTTATCTCCATGGAGAAGTGAAACAGAATTCTTCCTCCGTAAGCCATGCGTGTTGTAAGAGGCGACTAAAATGCCGGGAGCAAGGGGCTAGTAACCCCTTCTCCTGTATAAATTACTAAATTTGAAAAGAGAAACTCTTGTTATTTCTTTTTGGGCCACCCTGCCTTGATGGGATATGGTCGGTGTGTTGAAAAAAAGAAAATATTCTAACTTTTGTATTCTGCACATCTTGATCATTAAAAATCTTGAAATATATTTATATGCACTCATAATTTTGAACCCTCTTTTTTTCATGAAAAAAATCCTTTAAACAAATTTTATGAGTTTTGTTTCATATGTATTCATATTCATCTCTTGATAATAATAATAATAATACATAATAATACTACTATATCTTTATTTCTACAAGTACATGTACAAGGTATACAGTCCTAGTTGACATCAATGACATACTACTATATAGAAAACCCCGTGTTACACAGAGCATCTCGGGCAAATTAGATTAATTTTGTTCCCTGGATGTGACCCACACCAGTCGACTAATACCTAGGTATCCGTTTTACTGATGGGTGAACATTAGACAGCAGGTATCGTAAGGAAACATGTCCAGCCGTACTGGGGATCGAACCCTGGACCACAGTGTGTGAGCTAAGTGTGCTAGCGATCGAGCTACGGGATATCTTATACAGTACTGGTGAATCATCAGTTAACCGGTGCTTGGTTAGTCAGCATCTTACATTATCCAGGGGTTTTGTTTGGTCTGGTTCCCCATCCTGCCTCAGTGCTTTTATGTTATGTTATGCACATATGTTTATGCTAATTTATATTATAATTGGTTGAATTTTTATTGGCATCAGCCTTACTTAACCTAAATAGTATATACATATTGATAAATTGACTTGCCGAGTAAGAATGCTAAAATGAAAGACTTGCGTAGACATTAATTATTATTATTACTATTATAATCGTAACTAAGTGCTAAAATGTTGGCATTAAGAAAAGTGATTGTACCATAAATGGTTATGCAGAATTTTTAAATGTATATTTTTACAACACTTCTGTATTAAATTTTTTTGTTAAGAAATGCCACTTTTGACTCTAAATTTATTAAATTTCTTATGTGTGTTCTTTTCTTGTTTATATTTCTAGTCTCAGATAAATGTTATGATATGCCTAAATAACAAAATTAATTTAACATTTTAATAACTTCTTGTTTTGTGTTCATAAAATGATGCATTCAGGAATTTGTCATTTTTATAACACAGAGAAAAACAAAAATATTTTCCTTTTATTTTCAGATATAATACACACATGTTATAACCCTTCCTTGGTGGGATATGGCCGATTTGTTGAAAAAAAATATATAACATTTTATATTGTATTAGTAGTATAAAATATAAGCTATTTGATAATTATTATTTCCCAACAGGTTCATTGGTTCAGCCCCAACAGTCAGTGATATCAAGAGCTTGGCGAATCAGATTATTGCTCTGGTGCAGGCTCTCATAAAGTCATCGAAGCTGTCTCCATTGCATCAACACCGACATGAAAGCAGGTTCTCCTGCCAATTAGCCATCACTCAGTTTTCAGGTGGGAAGAGTAATCAAGATAAGGATATCAACTTGGATATTTTTTCTTGTGGTTTTTGAAAAGAGAAATGAGTTCATTTGAATGTTGCTGGCATGCTAGAATAATTACAGTAATTATCAGTGAACCCTCAATTTAACAAATTTTGGAAATACAGCAGAAAATCTACTGAATCATTTGATTCAGAAATAATAGACAGTATTCATTGATTACAGCCAAGGCCGGGTCACCACTACTTGGAAAAGACCCGGGCCGGGAGAATACCGGCGAATAAAAAAAAAAAAAAAAAAAAAAAATTGATTACAGAATTATTCATTATTATGATCCTTGCAAAAAATCTACCACAGTTACATTAGTGGTGGCCATCCACTGCTCGATATTAGTGTGTTGGGTGATAGTGCCCTGTAGAGCAGAATTATTATGGAATGCTTTATTTGTTAGAACAGAAGTAATATTTTAGACATAAAAGCACAAATACTTTAAAAAAAATACTGACATTGTCATGACCTCTATTCTTGAGGAAGACTTCATGCTCTAAATCCTAGTCAGGGAACTGGGGTACATTGCCCCAAATGGGGTAAAAATGAAAATCTCAGGGATAATGAAGGTTCAGTAAACATATATATAAAATTGCACAAAAAAATTATTTAATAAGCAAGGCAAATTATGAAAACTATATTTTTTTCAAATAAATAATTTTTAGTTTCTTACTAAAACTAAAAATTTGATTTGCAAACAAGGATTTTCCACTCTCATTAACTTAAAAACAAAGTGCAGAAATCGGTAACCAAATTGCTCTGGCATCAAAAACCCCAATTTTGATGCTGTTGTGTCAAAAGTGAAACAACATTTCTCCAAAACCTGAAGTGAAAATGTTTTCAGTGAAATTCTTAACTTCCCTAATAAGATTTTCATTAAATATGTCTGTTACTGTTTTTTATTTCATGCAGTTTATTTTTCAATTTATTATTATGTTAATTTTGTTTTATTTTTATAGTTGCTGTACCACGTATAATGCATACTTTTCAGCTTGTATGACTGTATTCTCCATACAAATGGATTCAATAAACTATTTTGAATTTGAATGCTCCTTGTGTTTTCCAGATTTTGTGGACTTTCAATTCTGGTGGGTAATTTCGCTGTACACAAATTTATTTTAGGGTAATACCCAAAAAAGTTTGCTGACCTCTGCTCTTAACCCTTTGAGGGTCCAGAGGTCAAATCTCAAATTGACAGCCAGGGTCAAAGAATTTTCAAAAAAAAATTTTGTTATTTTTTCATATGAAATGGTAGAGAATCTTATTCTGAAGATAATAAAATAAAAAGTATGAAATTTGATGGAAAACTGATGAAATTACACTCTTGTGAATTTTGATGCATCAGCGATATTTACGCATCAGTGATTTTGCCAACTTTGACTCCCATTTTAGGCCAATTACATTATTCCAGTCGACCAAATTTTTAGCTATTTTGCTAGTATTACTTCTATTTTATCGATTGAGCACAAGAAATCGCTTAGTCAACTGTTTCAATTACCAAATAAAGTGATCAGAAATTGGTAATTTGGCCAATTTGACACAAAGTTCAAAATATTCCAATTTCAAAATAGGGTCCAGAATAAACATTTAGTGCATTCCTGGCACTAAACTAACATTTCCTCTGTTCATTAGTTATGTTTTCAGGTTTTACAAATTAATTCCATTTTTATTTTGTATTCACATAATGAAATTTTATTCATACCAAAAAATAGAAGATTTACTGTTATGCAATATTGTAATAATTGTATAAATAATATCAGCACATTTGTGAATGTATATTAGACCCACCAGCTGATGTGTATTAGATACATGATGTCATTTGTTTATTCTTGAACATCGGCAAAAATTGAACATTTCCACTAATTTGAGCTCTGTTTCAAGCCTTTTTGAGTATTAAAACAAATCAAAATCATCTCTATTTCTGTAACATATCTTCCATTCTATCAAATGAGACCAAGAAATTGCGAATACAACTGTAAAAATCACATGAAAAAACACCACAAAGTCGCTATTTTAATCCAAAATTACAGTCGCAGTTTTTCTCCTCTCATTATGCACTGCTTGCTGCAGGATTTGTTTTATGTGGTGCACACTTACCACATAGGTGTATTCTCTCATATCTAGGCCCAAATTTACCATTCACAGCTTATCTGAGTGAGCTGAGCTCATGGTGTAGATCTACGGCTTGGACCCTGGCTTCAAAGCCATAGATCTATGGGACAGACCCCTGAAAGGCTTAATTGTCGTTTTCCTAGCCTTGAATTCATTTGTTTTATTGTGGTATCTTGGTCATCTGACATTACTTACCAGTCGTCTCCCACCGAGGCAGGGTAATTTAGTAATTTATACAGATGGGGTCACTAGCCCTTTGCTCTCAGCATTTTAGTTGCCTCTGATGACATGCATGACTTATGGAGGAAGGATTCTTTTCCACTTCCCCATGGAATATCTGATATTATTATTCCTAGATATTTTATCTTTCGTCCATCCTATGAAAAGGTCTTTAGTGAATTTTGTATCTCGTGTTTGTTTAAGTGCCTAGTTTCTTTCTATATCAAAGCTGTTGTATTTTTCTTTAACTTGACAGCCTTTGCCCAAGAAGATTAGGTGGCCCAAAGAGGAAAACACATTTACTTAATCACCATCTTTCCAGAAGTGTACTGACATCACAGATTACCCTTTGATTGCAACCTCCCCACCCCTCCTTCAGAGTGTAGGGCTGGGCTTTTAAATGAGCAGATAGGATAGGAGCACTTAGAGTACTAAGAGAAATACTCAAGGATGATGTGTTCCCAAAGTATACTGTACTCAAACTACAATGTTTATAATGAATGTTATTTTTTACCTTGCACATATTCTATTTTGGATGAAGGATTCATAAATTACAATCAAACTCTTGGCTTCCAGGTGACATGGAGATGCAACACCTTCATAATCGTCAGAGCTTCGACTTTACTCTTGATCTGGATGATATGTAAGTTAAATGATTGCAGCTAGTTATATCAGTTTATGAATACTTTAATATGCTTATACAGTATTATAAAGTATGCGCATTGGATATCAATGACCTTGGTAGATATTCTGATTCCGTATTGTAGGAGTGAAGTGTTCAATATTTATACTACAATGAAATAAAAAAAGTATTTTCAGATGTTATAGAACCATGGCTGCAGCAATATACAACTAACTTACAAATTGTAAACAGATACTAAATGTCTTTTCAGTCCATCCTGACTTTATAATGGTCCATAATAGACTGAAATGTTGTCTAGTTTTTATTTATTATTTGTGGCCCAGTTGGGAAAAGTACATGATCTGTTCTTTAACCCATCAACTGTCCAAACGTAGATCTACATTTACGCGCATCAGCGCTTGACTTGATTTTCTACATATTGAAGTATATCAGTTAAAAAATGTACTTTTAATATCTTGAAGATTATAAAGTATGCTTGGATATTCAATTCCTTTAGATTTCAATTAGTTCTATTTCAAGTTTATTTAAGGGTTACAATTAGTTTAAGAATTGATATAAAAGTATTTTAGAAGTATAATAAATCAGAGGGGCCACTGAACACTACACTAGATTTGAAGCAGATAGATAATTCTTTTCAGAAAGTTCTATTAAATGTCAGTTTGCATAATGTTGATCTGTATTTCATTATTGTGGCCAGTTGGGAAAAGTCATGATCTGTTATTTAAATCAACTACAAAGTAGATGTACATTTAACCTAGATACGCTCTGACTTGATTTTTCCATGTGGAAATTTTCTTTAAATAAATGATTCTAATCGGAAAACATTTTAATCGTAGATTATGCTTACATTTAGTTGTACATACATTCCAGGTCAGGTTCTGTCAGTTTATTCTATAGGTTAACAATGTAAGTTTTACATTTGGGTATTGGGTGTCCTTTACTTCTCATAACTAATTACAGGGTGTCATAGGCCTCTCTAGCTCATTAGTCCCACTAATAATCTAACAAGCACATATTATACAACCCCTCTGGTTTTTTCTTTTCTATTGGGCTTATCTTGTTTAGTTTCACTATATGATCTCAGGGGAAGTGAAAGGATTCTATAATTACAGGGTGAAGGCTGTATGAGATATCCTTGGACATGCTTACCTTTCTGTTTATACTAATGGACAAGGAGAAACTTTCGTTTTTCTTTTGCACCCTCTTCGATCAGGATAGCGTGTTGTTTGATAAAAAAGAAGTTGTATACATAGGTTGGTAGACAGCAACCACCCAGGGAGGTGCTACCGTCCTGTGAAGTGAGTGTTAAACGAAAGCCTGTAATTGTTTTACATGATGGTAGGATTGCTGGTGTCTTTGTCTGTCTCTCATAAATATGCAAGATTACAGGTATGTCTTGCTACTTCTACTTACACTTAGGTCACACTACACATACATGTACACATTTATTTATACACACTCATCTGAGTTTTCTTTGATTTTATCTTAATAGTTCTTGGTCTTATTACTTTTCCTTTTATATCCATGGGGAAGTGGAATAAGAATCTTTCCTCCGTAAGCCATGCGTGTTGTAAAAGTCAACTAAAATGCCGGGAACAATGGGCTAGTAACCCCTTTTCCTGTAATAATTACTAAAAAGAATAATAAGAAGAAAATTGTCAAAGTGGGATGTCTGAATGTGCATGGATGTTGTGCGAATGATAAGAAAGAGATGATTGTAGATGTTATGAATGAGAAGAAGCTGGATGTCTTGGCTTTAAGTGAAACAAAGCTGAAGGGGGTGGGAGAGTTTCAGTGGAGACGAATAAATGGGATTAGGTCAGGGGTTTCAAATAGAGTTAGAGCTAAAGAAGGAGTAGCAATAATGTTGAATGATAAGCTGTAGCAGGAAAAGAGGGAGTATAAATATATTAATTCAAGGATTATGTGGAGTAAAATAAAGGTTGAATGTGAAAAGTGGGTTATAGTAAGCGTATATGCACCTGAAGAAGAGAGAAGTGTAGAGGAGAGAGATTTTGGGAAATGTTGAGTGAATGCGTGAGGAGTTTTGAACCAAGTGTGAGAGTACTTGTGGTTGGGGATTTCAATGCTAAAGTGGGTAAAAATGTTGTGGAGGGAGTAGTAGGTAAATTTGGGGTGCCAGGGGTAAATGAAAATAGAGACCTTTAATTGAGCTATGTGTAGAAAGAGGTTTGGTAATAAGTAATACATATTTTATGAAAAAAAGGATAAATAAGTATATAAGGTATGATGTAGCATGTAATGAAAGTAGTTAGATTATGTATTGGTGTATAAAAGGTTGATGGGTAGGTTCCAGGATGTACACGTTTATAGAGGGGCAACTGATATATCGGATCATTATTTAGTTGTAGCTACAGTTAGAGTAAGAGGTAGATGGGACAAGAGAAAAATGGCAACAACAAGTAAGAGGGAGGTGAGAGTGTATAAACTAAGGGAGGAGGAAGTTCGGGTGAGATATAAGCAATATTAGCAGAAAGGTGGGCTGGTGCAAGTATGAGTAGTGGGAGGGTTGAAGAGGGTTGGAATATTTTTAAAAATGCAGTTTTAGAATGTGGGGCAGAAGTTTGTGGTTATAGGAGGGTGGGTGCAGGAGGAAAGAGGAGTGATTGGTGGACTGATGAAGTAAAGGATGTGATAAAAGAGAAAAAGGTAGCTTATGAGAGGTTTTTACAAAGCAGAAGTGTTATAAGAAGAGTAGAGTATATGGAGAGTAAAAGAAAGGTGAAGAGAGTGGTGAGAGAGTGCAAAAAGTGGGAAGATGATAGAGTGGGAGAGGCACTGTCAAAAAATTTTAATAAAAAAAAGAAAAAATTTTGGAGTGAGTTGAACAAGTTAAGAAAGCCTAGGGAACGAATGGATTTGTAAGTTAAAAACAGAGTAGGGAAGGTAGTAGATGGGGAGATGGAGGTATTGGGTAGATGGCGAGAATATTTTGAGGAACTTTTAAATGTCGACGAAGAAAGGGAGGCGGTAATTTCATGCACTGGCCAGGGAGGTATACCATCTTTTAGGAGTGAAGAAGAGCAGGATGTGAGTGTGGGGGAGGTACGTGAGGCATTGCATAGAATGAAAGGGGGTAAAGCAGCTGGAACTGACGGGATCATGACAGAAATGTTAAAAGCAGGGGGATATAGTGTTGGAGTGGTTGGTATTTTTGTTTAATAAATGTATGAAAGAGGGGAAGGTACCTAGGGATTGGCAGAGAGCATGTATAGCCCCTTTATATAAAGGGAAGAGGAACAAAAGAGATTGCAAAAATTATAGAGGAATAAGTTTACTGAGTATAGCAGGAAAAGTGTACAGTAGGGTTATTATTGAAAGAATTAGAGGTAAGACAGAATGTAGGATTGCGGATGAGCAAGGAGGTTTTAGAGTGGTTAGGGAATGTGTAGATCAATGTTTACATTGAAGCATATATGTGAACAGTATTTAGATAAAGGTAGGGGAGTTTTTATTGCATTTATGGATTTCGAAAAGGCATATGATAGAGTGGATAGAGGAGCAATGTGGCAAATGTTGCAAGTATATGGAATAGGTGGCAAGTTACTAAATGCTGTAAAGAGTTTTTATGAGGATAGTGAGGCTCAGGTTAGGGTGTGTAGAAGAGAGGGAGACTACTTCCTGGTAAAAGTAGGTCTTAGACAGGGATGTGTAATGTCACCATGGTTGTTTAATATATTTATAGATGGGGTTGTAAAAGAAGTAAATGCTAGGGTGTTCGGGAGAGGGGTGGGATTAAATTATGGGGAATCAAATACGTACAAAATGAGAATTGACACAGTTACTTTTTGCTGATGATACTGTGCTTATGGGAGATTCTAAAGAAAAATTGCAAAGATTAGTGGACGAGTTTGGGAGTGTGTCTACAGGTATAAAGTTGAAAGTAAACATAGAAAAGAGTAAGGTGATGAGGGTATCAAATGATATAGATAAAGAAAAATTGGATATCAAATTGGGGAGGAGTATGGAAGAAGTGAATGTTTTCAGATACGTATTTGGGAGTTGACGTGTCAGCTGATGGATTTATGAAGGATGAGGTTAATCATAGAATTGATGAGGGAAAAAAGGCGAGTGGTGCGTTGAGGTATATGTATAGACAAAAATGTTATCTATGGAGGCAAAGAAGGGAATGTATGAAAGTATAGTAGTACCAACACTCTTAATTGGGTGTGAAGTTTGGGTTGTAAATGCTGCAGCAAGGAGGCAGTTGGAGGCAGTGGAGATGTCCTGTCTAAGGGCAATGTGTGGTGTAAATATTATGCAGAAAATTCGGAGTGTGGAAATCTGAAGGTGTGGAGTTAATAAGAGTATTAGTCAGAGGGCTGAAGAGGGGTTGTTGAGGTGGTTTGGTCATTTAGAGAGAATGGATCAAAATAGAATGACATGGAGAGCTTATAAATCTGTAGGGGAAGAAAGGCGGGGTAGGGGTCGTCCTCGAAAAGGTTGGAGGGAGGGGGTAAAGGAGGTTTTGTAGGCTAGGGGCTTGAACTTCCAGCAAGCGTGCGTGAGCGTGTTAGGTAGGAGTGAATGGAGACGAATGGTATTTGGGACCTGACGAGCTGTTGGAGTGTGAGCAGGGTAATATATAGTGAAGGGATTCAGGGAAACTGGTTATTTTTATATAGCTGGACTTGAGTCCTGGAAATGGGAAGTACAGTTCCTGCACTTTTTATTTATTTATTTATTATTAATTTGAACATGATACATAGAAGTACAAGGAAATACAATGGTTAAGTGTAACATGCCAAAGCCCCTTGTACGCAGAGCATTATGTGCAGGCTTAAAATTAACTTAAGATTAAACTAAGCAATGATATATTCAGTGGTAAACATTATTATAAACAGATAACAATTAAGCACAAATGAGTATTTCAAAGACAGGTCATATGGTCATTTACTATGTTGCTGTGCATTCAGTAGAATGGAGTATTCTGTTAGGTATTGTAATTAAAAATAACAAAGTTTGATTGGGTCACAGGGTAAACGTATATGAGATACAATTATTCAGTATTTATTTAGTTGAGGGTGAGTAAGTGATTTTTAAGAAGAGACTTGAATTTAGAAAAAGACAGTGTTTCTTTTATATTCTCAGGTAATGAATTCAAGATTTTTGGGCCTTTCATGTGCATTTGAGTTTTTGCATAGTGTGAGATGGACACGAGGAACATCAAAGAGTGATCTGTGCCTTGTGTTATGGTCATGTGTTCTGTTGAGGTTGGTAAAGAGACGATTGAGGGGAGGGTTTATATCCGAGTTAAGTGTTCTATGTATGTAGTAAGTACAATAATAAGTATGGATGTTTTGTATGGTGAGTAGGTTTAGAGTTTTGAATATTGGTGGAGTGTCCTGCCTGTAGTAAGAATTTGTTATCATTCTGACTGCAGCCTTTTGTTGGGTAATTAATGGTCTGAGATGGTTTATTGTTGTGGAGCCCCATGCACAAATTCCATAGGTGAGATAGGGGTAAATAAGTGAGTGATATAGGGCCAGGAGGGCTGACTGTGGAACATAGTGCCGTATCTTCGATAGTATGCCTACGATCTTGGAAATTTGTTGTACATGTGTTTGAAATTTGAGTCTATTATCAAGGTGGATTCCTAAGAATTTTCCCTCTGTGAGGGGTTTGGGATATTGGCAGTTTGGAGGGATATGTTGTGTATCTTTATACGTATATACTTCTAATCTGTTGTATTCTGAGCACCTCTGCAGAAACAGTGATTATGTGTGAGTGAGGTGAAAGTGTTGAATGATAAAAGTATTTTCTTTTTGGGGGATTTTCTTTCTTTTTGGGTCACCCTGCCTCGGTGGGAGATGGCCGACTTGTTGGAAAAAACAAAAAAAACTTATGCAAGATGAAAGATGAGGTGAATCACAGAATTGATGAGGGGAAAAAGGTGAGTGGTGCACTTAGGAGTCTGTGGATACAAAGAACTTTGTCCATGGAAGCAAAGAGGGAAATGTATAAGAGTATAGTTATACCAACACTCTTATATGGGTGTGAAACGTGTGGTGAATGCTGCAACAAGGAGAAAGCTGGAGGCAGTGGAGATGTCATGTCTGAGAGCAATGTGTGGTGTGAATATAATGTAGAGAACTCGTAGTTTGGAAATTAGGAGGAGGTGCGGGATCACCAAAACTATTATCCAGAGGGTTGAGGAGGGGTTGTTGGGGTGGTTTGGACATGTAGAGAGGATAGAAGGAAATAGAATGACTTCGAGTGTATAAATCTGTAGTGGAGGGAAGGCGGGGTAGGGATCAGCCTAGGAAAGGTTGGAGGGAGGGGGTAAAAGAGGTTTTGTGTGCGAGGGTCTTGGACTTCCAGCAAGCATGCATGAGCGTGTTAGATAGGAGCAAATGGAGACGAATGGTTTTTAGGACTTGACGTGCTGTTGGAGTGTGAGCAAGGTAACATTTATGGAGGGATTCAGGGAAACCGGCAGGCCGGACTTGAGTGTGCACTCTGAAGGAGGGGTATTGATGTTGCAGTTTTATAACTGTAGTGTGAGCGTGCCTCTGGCAACCCTGCCTTGGTAGGAGATGGCTGATGTTTACCTGGAGTTTACCTGGAGAGAGTTTCGGGGGTCAACGCCCCCGCGGCCCGGTCTGTGACCAGGCCTCCTGTGTTAATAAAAAAATGATAACTTATGCAAGGCATTGTAATCTAACAGGAAGGGTGTACCACAGAGCCACAAAGATGCTATGCAATTGGAATCACAGGCCTTGACCGAGGTTGCTCTGCGCTGTGCTTCAAGGTCCGTATCTCGAGCAGGTTCTCGTATTGCTTCTCGTGCTGCTTCCCGAGCTGTCTCACGAGCAGTGTCTCGCAGACCATCACTAAATGACCTCTCTGACCCAAGTCTTTATGATGGAGCTAATGAAATTCTACTGGGACAAATTAGTGACGATGCCTTTGAACAAATCTTGGATGTTACAACTCACCAAGAAGCCTTGATGGCATATTACTATTTGGATGATAATAATGAGGTAAGTCAAAGGCAATTCTCCAAACATGTTCATCTTATATGTAAGTTATTCTCAAAATCATGTAGTATTAGTATGTAGTGTCAGTGACAAAACTAATTTAATATTTTTAGTTCAGTATCAGCTAGTGTTGAATGATGATGAAAGTTTATTCCTTCTTTTTGGGTCACCCTGCCTCAGTGGGAAATGGCCAACATGTTAAAAAAAAATCAGTTAAATATCAATCTTTAAATATGATAATCATGAACCAATCAGCTCTCTCAAACCTGTTCTCATAGCAGTATTCACCTTGTTGACACAAACACTAATTTCTATTATGTTAGGGACCATTACCATCCCATAAGCTGGTCTTAAAAAATTATATATACTCTTGGAACTTCCACAGATAAAAATAAAGATACTTTATTTCAGCATGAGAGTGTTTGTACAAAGGTGAATTACATTTAGGTGTGCATGCCAAAAACCCCTTAGTATGTAGAGCATTTCAGGCAAACTTAAAGATTAATAAGGCAATAACAAATGATATCTTGTTGAATCCTTTACATGAAAATAAACCCCAGCTTTGCTTCTGTGGATGCTTGCCTTTCCCATTATACAGTAGTTCCCCCGTATCCGCAGGTGATACATTCCAAGACCTACCTCAGATGCCCAAAACTGCAGATAGTAGCAAACTCTGTATATGTCATTTTTCGCTTACATACATACCTATGATAAAGTTTAATTTATAAATTACACACAATAAGACATTACCAATATTAAATAATAATAAAATACATTGTACAATGTTATACTTATGCTCTCTTTCTCTCAAATGAAAGGGGGTCCAGTATTTTAGCTTATCCCTCAAGGGATGATGGAACAACAAAAAATATCTTTACACACACAGTTAAAATGCCTTAAAAAATATCTTGGCCAATTTGAAACTTAGGAATAATTTATTTCTGGAATTTTCCATTTAATATTTTCATGCTGCAGTAAACCACAGATAACTCAGAATCAATCAAAAAAATCAAAAGTTTATTTCTTTGCAAAGGTTACAATGTGTGTTTACATTTCATAATTTGATTGATACAAAGAAAGCCACTATCATGCCGAGGCTTTTCGAGCAGACTTAACCTAATATGTAAAGACTACTGAAGTCTAGACAGGTGAAAAGTGGTAGATTACAAATATTCAATATTTTACTCTATTATTAATTTGAGGTAGTACAATTTTTGATACAGACATACATATTTAAGTTTATAATAATGGCTTAATAGTTAAGGGATAATAAAATATTTGGGAAAGTTGCTTCAAATTTGGTTAGAGATTAGCATAGTGTGGGTATGGTTGTTATTAAGTACATGTATATGTAGTCCTAAATTGATTTGTGGGCAGGTTACTTCTTGCTGTTTCGGGCAAAGAGTTCCAGATCTTCGGGCCGTTTATGTGCATTGCATTTTTGCAGTGTGAGACGGACACAAGGAATGTCAAAAAGTGTTTTGTGCTCCATGTTATGCCTGTGTTCTGATGAAGCTGTCAAGGAGAAGTTTGAGTGGTGGGTTGATATTGGAGTAATGTTTTGTATAAAGTATAGCAGGCACAATAATAAGTGTGTATATTTTGTATATTAAGTAAGTTTAAGCTCTTGAAGAGTGGTTGGGTGTGTTGTCTGGTATAAGAGTTTGTGATTATCCGCACAGCAGCTTTTTGTTAGGTTATTAAAGGTTTAAGGTGATTGGCCATGGTAGATTCCCAAGCACATATGCCATAGGTGAGGCAAGGGTATATTAGAGAGTGATATAAAATAAGGAGCGCCATTTGGGGTACATAATATCGTATCTTGGAAAGGATGCTTACTGTTTAGAAAACTTTCTTAGTTATATGCTGGATATGGGTCTGAAATTTACAATTACAGTCAAGGTGGAGACCTAGAAATTTGCCCTCAGTGTGTCTTGTAATGGGTGAACCATTTATTGATGTGTTTAGTTGGATATTTAATGCTCTGTTTCCAAAAAGCATGAAGTAGGTTTTGTCTGTGTTGAGAGTGAGTTTTTGGTCGTCATCCAGTTTGATATTTTATGTAGCTTGCTGTTTACAGTGTCACTAAGTATAGCTGGGTTTGGGTGGGAGAAGACATAATTGGTGTCATCTGCGAATAGAACCGGTTTAAGGAGTCGCGATGCATTTGGGAGGTCATTGATGTAAATAAGAAAGAGTAGAGGACCTAAGCACTTTGTTCTAATTAAAGTGCACTCATAAACTATCATAAAAATTAGGTAACCAAATCTGCAGATATGGAAGTTCTACTGTATTGTTAGATGTCTAATTTTTGTGATGGAAAATTAGTGCACTTTAATTAGAACAAAGTGCATAAAATGCCTAGTATATTTATAAATTATATTATTTTACACCCAGATGGGAAAGAACTAATTGGCATTAGACTCAAAAAAGACCTTTCTATAAAAATAAATGTGTGATGTCTTTACTCGTATGTATATATGCTTCATAAACATATCAGTAACATTTTTCAAATTTGATTAGGTTCAGGTCACTGAGATCTTTGACTTGACGAAGGATGAGAGCAACGAAGGAGTTGATGGTGGAGGGATAGAGATGGTAAATAGTCACTGGGATTTACAAAGGGAGATGCAGGCAAAGTCTTGGCCTCTAAATATGAGAAATGACTCCATTGGTAAGTACTAGTCAATTGATATATACATGTACAATGGAACCTTGGTACTCCAGAAGGCTGTTCAAGTGCCGATCTGTTCAAGTACCGAACAAATTTTTCCCAACCAATTTTCTTTTTGGTTGGCTGTTACCCCTAATCTTCGTAGGCCCCATGGAGACTTATTTAAATAAATACTGTAATACAGTGGTCCCTCGCTTTTCGTAGTTCTCGGCAATCGTAAATTTCGCCAATCATAGGGGTCTTTTCGTATAAACATGGACTCGCTTTTCATAGGTTGACTCGCGAATAGTAGTTCGTCCGGGACGTGTATGCACGGTGTGAGCCGGGGCGGCCTCCCTACCCAGCCAGTCTGGCATTGTTTACCAGTGAGTGAAGGTCCTCTCAAGTGCTCCTACGAAATATTTCATAATATTCCACTCATTTTAGTGCTTGCAAGTACTAAATAAGCTACCATGGCTCCAAAGAAAGCTCCTAGTGCCAAGCCTGTGGTAAAGAAGGTGAGAAATATGCACAGTGACAAAGTCTTGGGCCATTTTAGGGAAGTGTTAAAGAGACGCTAGAAACAGAGCTCTCTCCACAGTTACTTTGCGAGACAGGACTAGAGTGACTCTCAAGGTGGTCCTAGTGGTATTAAGAAACAGAGAAGAGAAGCAACCCCAGAGAAGCAATTGGTACCTGAGGTGTTGCTGGAAAGGGATTCCCCTTCCAAACTGTAAACAATCCAATCTCTCTCCTCCTCCAGTTTCCTATACACTAAGAAGAATCTCCAATGAAGGTAAGTGTTATGCTGTTAGTGTTTCATTCATCATTTCCCATTGTATTGTTTATGTACTACATGTATATTTCATGTAAAAATTTTTTTTGTTTTAATACTTCTGGGTGTCAGGAACGGATTAATTGTATTTACATTATTTGTTATGGGGAAAATTGATTCGCAAATCGTAAATTTCGTTTATAGTAACGGCTCCAGGAATGGATTAATTATGAAAAACGAGGGACCACTGTATAAAAAACACTATAAAATGCGAAGAAACACGAAATAGTTTACAGCGAGGTTCTGGCAGGTAGTGTTTGTTTGGTCGAGTGCCGAGCAAACAGTCAACTACCAAGTGATTTTTTTTTTTACTGAACTGTTCAAGTAAGGAGTTGTTTGAGTACCGAGGTTCCACTGTACATAATACATTGCATGGGTTAATACTGGTAAATGTGTTTTATTCTCTGGGTTAACCTGCCTTGGTGGGAGATATTGAATAAGCTTTGGAGTTGATTTTAGTAATAATCTTTTAATCTTCTTATCTTGAAAACCATTTGGTAAGTTTCCTTATTTTTTTTAATACATTATGTGCCTGATTTTGTAAGGTAATACCTTAAATTAGTGAAATACTAGAAGAAATTACTACGGTTCATACACATTACTTCATGATTAATGACACGTAAAGCAAAATAATAGAGGGAAGAATAACTTGAAATCACGAAAAGAGATAAATGTTTAAAAAATATTTTTATAATGTCTAATGAAAAATGATGGGTATGTGATAGAGAAAATAAAATTAAATACACACAGAAGATACAAATAAGATGTAGATACCTAAACTTAAAAAAATAAGTTACCTATGTAATATCAATTTTGCCTTTGTACAGTGATTGATGATGTAAAGTTATACAAGTTTGTAAACAATATTGCAGATTTCTCTTGCCATTCTTCTTGATATAATAAGGTAAAAATACATTTTACAGGATCAGAACAAGGCTTTGATGGTGACCTAAATCCTACAGTGGTATCTGACACAGAGTCTGAACACTACCACAGGTGAATATATATCATCAGTGTGATCATATGCTCTCTGCCTGCCACCAGCCACTAGGTACGTACTCAAACATTATTATTATACAATCATAAGTAAGCACTAAACTCACAAGGGTCATATGTATTCTTAACAATCATTCTCATACCATTTATATTATAAGAAATGCTGTATATGTAAATTTTAACATAATGTTTTCATTTTTTTAATGTGTTACTTTTGTTACATTAAGAATGCATTTATGAAATGTGATAGTGTGTCTGAGGTGCACACAAGGTAAAAAATAAAAAAAAAAATAGAGCAGTTTGAAAACTTTCCAGAATCACTTCAGCTACTGTACATCTGGAGTGTAGGCATTAATGCACATGTACAGTACAACTAATTCTAGATTTGTCTAAAAGTATCTATACTGAATATACAGGATTTGATTTACTGTTGGCAAGCAAGATGAAATTTACAGAGGGATTCAGGTAAACTGGGTAGCCAATCATGTTTCCTGGAGGTGGACAGTACAGTGCTCGCATTCTGAAATGTGCTTGGGGATGTTTATAGGGTCAGTTAAATTATGTTCACAGGACAGCTGTTCATTGAATAATGGTAACTTGTGTTTTCTTTGGATCACAGTAACTTGACAGGAAATGGCCAATGTGGCTAAAAAATTAATAATAAATAGGTGTATATTATGATTGTTAAACCTAATTTACATATATAGACAAATATTAATACAATTTCTAATATACCAAGTGGAGATTTTGGATAGAAATTATCATCATCATCCACATTATGGGCAGGATTTATAATATTGTATTGACATACGCTGTATAATCCTCCGGGTTTAGCGCTTCCCCTTGATTATAATAATAATAATGTATTGACATAAATGCTGATTCTGCATTTCTTATAGTAAGATAAAAAAAATGTAGTGATACTGCAGTTATAATTGTGATTACACTAGAAATGTTTAACTGAAGGTTACTAACCAGTATGCATTAACTAGAGGGTATTGATGGCAGAAGAATTGATCCAACTCCAATTCAGTGGAAAGAAGTCATATTGTAGGATTTGACTAAGTTAACTTAGCCTGAGTAAATACACTTGCTATATGCACTCAGAGCCTAAGAATAACTATCTACAAACTTCTTGGTGAATACATTCCTTGAAGAAAACAGAGCAACTGTAGAGGTTTAACTTATACAGGTCTCCCTCAATATTCATGTTTTCAACTTTCGCGGGCTTCACACATTCGCGAATTCCCAACCACCAAATTTCCAGCCTCCAAATTCCCAGCCGCCAAATCATATTTAAGTTTCCCACCACCTGTGAGTCCCTACTTCCCTCCCTCTTACCCCGCAACTGGCAGCCAGCCCTCCCACCACTGTGTGGTGAGTGTTTTGTTTGTTCATTATTTGCTATTAACCCTTTGAGGGTCGACAGGCCCTCTCCGAAACTCGTTCTCAGGGTCGGCCAAATTTAAAAAAAAAAAAATTATTTTCTCTTATGAAAAGATAGAGAATCTTTTCCCGATCATAAAGACACCAAAAGTTTGAAATTTGATAGAAAACTTACGGAATTATGCTCTCGCAAAGTTAGCGGTCTCGGCGATGTTTACGCATCGGCGATTTTGCCCACTTTGAGCCCCATTTTCGGCCAATTTCACTGTACTAGTCGACAAAAAACATGAATATTTCGCTAGAACTCCATTTTTTCTATCGAATGGGTGCAAGAAACCACCCATTTATAAATTCAACTATCCAGTACAGTGGTCAGAATTTAGCAATTTTGCAAATTTCACACAAATTTCAAAAGATGCCAATTTCCGAATAGGGTCCAGAATAAACAAGAAAGACATTCCTGGCACTAAAATGACATTTCCTCTAGTCATTAGTCACGTCTCAAGGGCCCTCTTATATTCTTTTGCTTTCCACTTTGAATTTTTATTTTCACAAAAAATATAAGATTTACTGTTATGCAGACTACTGCTTTAGTGTAAAAAATGGTATAAATATTATTGGTGCACTTGTAAAAGAATATTAGACTCACCAGTTGACGTGTATTGCACGCTTGGCACGATTTGTTTACTTTTGAAGTTTGGTAAAAATCGAACATTTCTGCTACTTTGAGCTCAATTTCAAGGCACCTTTCATTGTAAAACCAGTCAAAATCATCTCAATTTCTGTAATATGTCTTCCATTCTATAAAATGAGACCAAGAAAACTAGAATACAACAATAAATACCATACGAAAATACACTGCAAAGTCGCTGATTTATTAAAAAAAAATGGTCAAAGTTTTTTTTTTTCTCATTATGCACTGTGTGCTGCAGGATTTTTTTTAGACTGTGCACACTGACCACATAGACCCATTCTTTCATATGAAGGCCTACCACCTTTCTCCCACTAGATTTGAGGCCGCTAGAATTTACGAGTACTAGTACGTCAAAAACCCCTACTCGTAAAACGTACTAGTACGACCAAAACCCTCAAAGGGTTAAACTGCAGTATAAATAATGTAAACCCATTCATGACTGCATATTGGAATGGCTATTCGGACAGGTATTTGACAGTGACATCATGTGTTTACTCTTGAACACAGCAAAAAAACATTTCTGCTACTGCTAATAATAACAAGAGTAATAATAATAATAAATGCGATAGAATTGAAGAAGGAAATTGTACAAAAATACACGTATGAAGGAGTGGTTGACATATTGTCAGTGTGGCTTTGTTTATGCAGGAGTGAGCATTAGTCTCCGTGCTCTTCCAAACATTTCACAATACAGTAATTCATTGTGTTTGGTGCTTGTAAATTGAGTGCGACTGGAGTAGTAGAGGCAGTGGTTGAGGCAGTGGTTGAGGCAGTGGGTGAGGCAGTGGGTGAGGCAGTGGGCGAGGCAGTGGGCGAGGCAGTGGGCGAGGCAGCGGTTGAGGCAGTGGGTGAGGCAGCAGTTGAGGCAGTGGTATTTAATAACATGTTAATAACAGTAATAATAATAATAATAATACATGTTATTAATAATATGTATTATTATTATTATTATAACATGTTATTAAATACCACTGCCTCAACTGCTGCCTCTACTGCTGCCTAAACCGCTGCCTCTACCAGTGCCTCAACCGCTGCCTCACCCGCTGCCTCACCCACTGCCTCAACTGTTGCCTCACCCACTGCCTCATCCACTACCTCAAGCACTGCCTCACCCACTGCCTCAAGCACTGCCTCACCCACTGCCTCAACCGCTGCCTCAACCACTGCCTCACCCACTGCCTCAACTGCTTCCTCAACCACTGCCTCAACTGCTGCCTCACCCACTGCCTCAACCGCTGCCTCAACCACTGCCTCAACCGCTTCTTCAACCACTGCCTCTACCACTCCAGTCGCACTCAATCTACAAGCACCAAACACAATGAATTATTGTGAAATGGAAGAGCACGGAGACTAATGCTCACTCCAGCATAAACAAAGCCCCACTGACGATGTGTCAACCACTCCCTCGTATTTTGTACAATTTCCTTCTTCAATTCTATCGTATTTATTATTATTACTATTATTATTATTATTATTATTATTACTATTGTTATTATTATTATTACTACTATTGTTGTTATTAGCAGTAGCAGAAATGTTTCTTTGCTGTGTTCAAGAGCAAACACATGATGTCACCGTCCAATACCTGTCCGAATAGCCATTCCAATATGCAGTCATGAATGGGTTTACATTATTTATATTGTAGTTTAATAGCAAATAATGAACAAACAAAACACTCACCACACCAGTGGAAGGGCTGGCTGCCAGTTGCGGGGGTCAGAGGGAGGGTAGTAGGGACTCGCAGTGGTTGAGGAAGTGGTGGAGGGGTTGTTGAGGTGGTTTGGTCATTTAGAGAGAATGGATCAAAGTAGAATGACACGGAAAGCATATAAATCTATAGGGGAAGGAAGGCGGGGTAGGGGTCGTCCTCGAAAGGGTTGGAGAGAGGGGGTAAAGGAGGTTTTGTGGGCAAGGGGCTTGGACTTCCAGCAAGCGTGCATGAGCGTGTTAGATAGGAGTGAATGGAGACGAATGGTACTTGGGACCTGACGATCTGTTGGAGTGTGAGCAGGGTAATATTTAGTGAAGGGATTCAGGGAAACCGGTTATTTTCATATAGTTGGACTTGAGTCCTGGAAATGGGAAGTACAATGCCTGCACTTTAATTAAAGGAGGGGTTTGGGATATTGGCAGTTTGGAGGGATATGTTGTGTATCTTTATATGTGTATGCTTCTAAACTGTTGTATTCTGAGCACCTCTGCAAAAACAGTGATAATGTGTGAGTGTGGTGAAAGTGTTGAATGATGAAAGTATTTTCTTTTTGGGGATTTTCTTTCTTTTTTGGGTCACCCTGCCTCGGTGGGAGACGGCAGACTTGTTGAAAAAAAAAAAAACGTTATTAAACCATAACACGTATGTATTTAGTACAATTTACGATGTTTTCATGTATTTTATGAGTGTTCATGGTTCAACAAGTTAAGGAAGCAGTATTGTATTATATTTCCCTACAATATTTTGGGGCACCAAACATTCGCGATTTTTTTTTTTCAACATTCGTGAGGCTCTTGATCCCCTAACCCTCGCGAATGTTGAGGGAGACCTGTACTTCATAACTGTGAATCTAGACCTCCTTTCAGGTTTAGTGCTTAATTTGATCATATTACAGGTCCACATCCAAAATTATGAAATTCAAAAAGTTCAGAAAACTGAAGTTTTTTCGTGGGGTGTGGAGCATCAGTGCTGGGTCACACCGCCACGTGGCAGCATTGAGAATCATTCTGAAATTCGAAAAAGTTGAAATTTGAAACAATACAGACCCCCAAGGGTTTTGGATAAAGGGATGTGCACCTGTATTATGATTCTAGGCATAGTTTCATAACCAAGTTGAGAATGTAATAAGTCATTTAAGAGAATGACTGTATGACCCTTGTAGGTTTAGTGCTTAGTTTTGATTGTAATAATAATAATAACAGTTATTTAAGAGGATGAATTAGGCTTATAAATAATTATAATTCAGCAAAAACTCTTTGGCAGTCAGTGTTGACAGAGTGGGACCAAGCTCTCACAGCAGCATCACACCACTGACCATACTCCAACAAGCAACAAGACCTGAAAATACTTTTATAGCTCAAATACTGAGTTTATATAAAAAAACAATAACTAGATTACAAAACAAATTTCAACAGTTTTCCCAGAAGGTGCTATCTTATGGACATATTTCTTGCTTCGGTATACAGTACTGTAATTGCTTCTTTCAAATGTTTGTGTGTTATATTTCATAATATATTTTGCTGTATCAGCAAACTTAAAACAGTTGTATTTTTATATAAGTGATAAATTGTATATTTATATAAATGATAAACTGTATATTTATATAAATGATAAATTTTTCTTGCTGTATATTGCATTACTACATTTATGAGGGGAAGTGAAGTGATAAACCTGTAGGGGTCATAGAGCCTTGTAGATTATTACATTCATGGGGAACGCTGAACACGAGTTAGGTTCAACTCCTTGGATCAAGAGCTCTGTGTTGTCATTGGGTTTTCTTTCTATAACTTGTCTGCATTTCATGTCTTCTGATTTTTTTTGTATAAGATAATACTTGTAGAGCAATCATGGAACAAATCATTAGTACAATATCTTACTTATTTTATGTTTATTATATTTACAAGAAAGCATAAATTCACTTTTATTTCTGATGTTATGAAGACTGAAAGATTTGAAACTACTATATTTTTTATTAATGAGCATTTAAATTTGCTTGTTTTTACAAGATTTTCCTAAACCGAATGCATCATTGGTGACCCGGTGGCCTGGTGGCTAAAGCTCCCGCTTCACACACGGAGGGCCCGGGTTCGATTCCCGGCGGGTGGAAACATTTGACACGTTTCCTTACACCTGTTGTCCTGTTCACCTAGCAGCAAATAGGTACCTGGGTGTTAGTCGACTGGTGTGGGTCGCATCCTGGGGGACAAGATTAAGGACCCCAATGGAAATAAGTTAGACAGTCCTCGATGACGCACTGACTTTCTTGGGTTATCCTGGGTGGCTAACCCTCCGGGGTTAAAAATCCGAACGAAATCTTATCTTATCTTATCTTATGAGTAAGGATGCCCCCTCAGTGGAAGAGGACATCTTTATGCATCCTTGATGACAGTGAAGGAGCTTCTCCTACTAACAGTTGGACCTCCCTTACTTTCATGAAACCTATTTTCTTGCATTTTGCCAAGCACTGCATGACCCTATGAATGTAATAAATAATAATGTGGTAAGATGTAACATGTACAGTAAACACTTATAATGTGATGTTAAATATCATGGTTGTATGGAAACAGTTGAAAATGTACACCTAAAATTGCAGTACAGAATTACCTTGGTAATACACCCAGTATATCTAAATTTCGGTAGTACCCTTTGAAGATTTTTACAATATGCTTTCTGAGTCTCAAATGAGTTTTGCTTCTCCTTTCTTCCCACAGTTCTTGCTAAGCTGGAGGAAGTTATGTCCACTGGATAGCAATTTTTCTTTCTAATATTTTTGTAACTTTATATAATTTATGAATGCTTAATTTATATCAAACACTAAATGTTTAAAGAGAATATTTGGTGCATTAATATAGACAGTCTACAAAACTTCAACAAATGACTGAATTATTACCCCCTAGGTTATAAACCCAGTATTGGACATGTAATACAGTTAGTCTCATGCCTTTAAATATTAATGTACCTACTAGCTTTATTTCTAGAACTGTTGAACATGCTGGTGATTGATAAGTGAATGAGTAAACGAGAAAAGTGTAGTGTAAGACTGTGCATTTTCTACCGAGGCAGTCATTAACACAGCTGACTGAATAAACACCTTGCTAGGTAAGGCAGTGGTTTGACTAATTAAATCAGGAAAGATGTTTGGGCAAGTATCTGGCTAACTATTGCCCCAGTTATATTGTATGCACCTGGAGAAGAGAGAAGTGTAGAGGAGAGAGAGAGATTCTGGGAAATGTTGAGTGAATGCGTGGGGAGTTTTGAATCAAGTGTGAGAGTAATGGTGGTTGGGGATTTCAATGCTAAAGTGGGTAAAAATGTTATGGAGGGAGTAGTAGGTAAATTTGGGGTGCCAGGGGTAAATGTAAATGGGGAGCCTTTAATTGAGCTATGTGTAGAAAGAAATTTGGTAATAAGTAATACATATTTTATGAAAAAGAGGATAAATAAATATACAAGGTATGATGTAGCATGTAATGAAAGTAGTTTGTTAGATTATGTATTGGTGGATAAAAGGTTGATGGGTAGGCTCCAGGATGTACATAGTATTTATAGAGGGGCACTGATATATTGGATCATTATTTAGTTGTAGCTACAGTTAGAGTAAGAGGTAGATGGGAAAAGAGGAAGGTGGCAACAACAAGTAAGAGGAAGGTGAAAGTGTATAAACTAAGGGAGGAGGAAGTTCGGGCGAGATATAAGCGACTATTGGCAGAAAGGTGGGCTAGTGCAAAGATGAGCAGGGGGGGGGGGGGGGGGGGGGTTGAAGAGGTTGGAATAGTTTTAAAAATGCAGTATTAGAATGTGGGCAGAAGTTTGTGGTTATAGGAGGGTGGGGCAGGAGGAAAGAAGAGTGATTGGTGGAATGATGAAGTAAAGGGTGTGATAAAAGAGAAAAAGGTTAGCTTACGAGAGGTTTTTACAAAGCAGAAGTGTTATAAGAAGAGCAGAGTATATGGAGAGTAATATGAAAGGTGAAGAGAGTGGTGAGAGAGTGCAAAGGATAGCAGATGAAAGAGTGGGAGAGGCACTGTCAAGAAATTTTAATGAAAATAAGAAAAAATTTTGGAATGAGTTAAACAAGTTAAGAAGCCTAGGAAAAGTATGGATTTGTCAGTTAAAAAACAGTGTAGGGGAGTTAGTAGATGGGGAGAGGGAGGTATTAGGTAGATGGCGAGAATATTTTGAGGAACTTTTAAATGTTGAGGAAGAAAGGGAGGCAGTAATTTCATGCACTGGCCAGGGAGGTATACCATCTTTTAGGAGTGAAGAAGAGCAGAATGTAAGTGTGGTGGAGGTACGTGAGGCATTACGTAGAATGAAAGGGGGTAAAGCAGCTGGAACTGATGGGATCATGACAGAATGGTTAAAAGCAGGGGGGATATAGTGTTGGAGTGGTTGGTACTTTTGTTTAATAAATGTATGAAAGAGGGGAAGGTACCTAGGGATTGGCGGAGAGCATGTATAGTCCCTTTATATAAAGGGAAAGGGGACAAAAGAGATTGTAAAAATTATAGAGGATAAGTTTTACTGAGTATACCAGGAAAAGTATACGTAGGGTTATAATTGAAAGAATTAGAGGTAAGACAGAATGTAGGATTGTGGGTAGGGGATGTGTAGATCAAGTGTTTACATTGAAGCATATATGTGAACAGTATTTAGATAAAGGTAGGGAAGTTTTTATTGCATTTATGGATTTAGAAAAGGCATATGATAGAGTGGATAGAGGAGCAATGTGGCAGATGTTGCAAGTATATGGAATAGGTGGTAAGTTACTAAATGCTGTAAAGAGCTTTTATGAGGATAGTGAGGCTCAGGTTAGGGTATGTAGAAGAGAGGGAGAATACTTCCCGGTAAAAGTAGGTCTTAGACAGGGATGTGTAATGTCACCATGGTTGTTTAATATATTTATAGATGGGGTTGTAAAAGAAGTAAATGCTAGGGTGTTCGGGAGAGGGGTGGGATTAAATTATGGGGAATCAATTCAAAATGGGAACTGACACAGTTACTTTTTGCTGATGATACTGTGCTTATGGGAGATTCTAAAGAAAAATTGCAAAGGTTAGTGGATGAGTTCGAGAATGTGTGTAAAGGTAGAAAGTTGAAAGTGAACATAGAAAAGAGTAAGGTGATGAGGGTATCAAATGATTTAGATAAAGAAAAATTGGATATCAAATTGGGGAGGAGGAGTATGGAAGAAGTGAATGTTTCAGATACTTGGGAGTTGACGTGTCGGCGGATGGGTTTATGAAGGATGAGGTTAATCATAGAATTGATGAGGGGAAAAAAAGGTGAGTGGTGCGTTGAGGTATATGTGGAGTCAAAAAAACGTTATCTATGGAGGCAAAGAAGGGAATGTATGAAAGTATAGTAGTACCAACACTCTTATATGGATGTGAAGCTTGGGTGGTAAATGCAGCAGTGAGGAGACGGTTGGAGGCAGTGGAGATGTCCTGTCTAAGGGCAATGTGTGGTTGTAAAATATTATGCAGAAAATTCGGAGTGTGGAAATTAGAGGTGTGGAGTTAATAAAAGCATTAGTCAGAGGGCAGAAGAGGGGTTGTTGAGGTGGTTTGGTCATTTAGAGAGAATGGATCAAAGTAGAATGACATGGAAAGCATATAAATCTTAGGGGAAGGAAGGAGGGGTAGGGGTCGTCCTCGAAAGGGTTGGAAAGAGGGGGTAAAGGAGGTTTTGTGGGCAAGGGGCTTCGACTTCCAGCAAGCGTGCACGAGCGTGTTAGATAGGAGTGAATGGAGACGAATGATACTTGGGACCTGACGATCTGTTGGAGTGTGAGCAGGGTAATATTTAGTGAAGGGATTCAGGGAAACCGGTTATTTTCATATAGTCGGACTTGAGTCCTGGAAATGGGAAGTACAAGGCCTGTACTTTAAAGGAGGGGTTTGGGATATTGGCAGTTTGGAGGGATATGTTGTGTATCTTTATACGTATATGCTTCTAAACTGTTGTATTCTGAGCACCTCTGCAAAAGCAGTGATAATGTGTGAATGTGGTGAAAGTGTTGAATGATGATGAAAGTATTTTTCTTTTTGGGGATTTTCTTTCTTTTTTGGGTCACCCTGCCTCGGTGGGAGACGGCCGACTTGTTGAAAAAAAAAAATTATTATTATAATCAAAAAGAAGCGCTAAACCACAAGGGCTATACAGCGCTGATTGTGAACATAGAGTTAGAGAGAGGAGCAACAATTCCCTGCTGATTCTGGCTTCATTTGAACCTAAACGTATTACCTGGAGTTTACCTGGAGAGAGTTCGGGGGTCAACGCCCCCGCAGCCCGGTCTGTGACCAGGCCTTACCAGGCATTACTTTTTCCTCCATAATTAAGTGCTAAACCCACAAGGGTCGTACAGTGCTGCTTTTCATCCATGAATGCATTATTAATGGACCCACATGTTCAGATCATACAAAATCAGAAGCTATAGACAATTTAGATATGCATTGGAAAATTGTAGAAATTTGGTAACGAACATGGCTTTTATTTGTACAGATGTATATTTTCTTATGACTTTATTACAAGCATTTACCTTTTGTAAAGGTCTGCCAAGTTCCTTTTTGGTAAGGAATCATTTTATTTTTACTTCATGACATATGTACCAAGTAAGTTGGTTAATAAACCTTGCTACATCCAACTCAGGCCTTTAAGCCCACAAACCCTTCCCACACACTTCCGGTGCTTAAAGTTGTAACTAGCAATGTAATTTAGCTGTAAATTTACTTTTTTCCCATAACTCATTTTATAAGGTGCCAAATTTCAGGAACACATCTTGCACATTGTGAGTGTTTACTGTACATTATGGGGATTGGGAAGTGTGGTGTTGGATTGGAGTAATTATTTACAAAAAAAAAAAAAAAAAAAAAAAAAAGAAGAAAAGAAAAAAGGCAAAAGCCACTTGGGTCACTCAGTGCTGAGGCATCAAATTAGGCTACAAGATTCATAACTTCATGTAGTGTGAAAAATACACAAGTGTTCTGTAAAATATCAGTACAGGTCTCCCTCAACATTCGCGGGGGTTAGGGGATCAAGAGCCCCGTGAATGTTGAAAAATCGCGAATGTTTGGTGCCCCAATATATTGCAGGGAAATATAATAAAATAATAAAATGAAATAATCTATGTATATACATGTATATACGTACATGCTCCTCCCACTCATATATTTGTCCAATCTCTTTTTAAAGCTACCCAAGGTCCTATCAAAGCTAAAACCTTGGGTAGCTTCACATTTAGGTTGGATAAATACACAAGTGAGAGGTGGCTGGATTTGAATGGGTCTTGCATGCGAGTAAATAGAATGTTCAAAGCTTATTGCTTGGGTAGCATTTATTCTGTTATTGGGCTGGATTTGTGAAGGACCTGAATAGTATGGGCCAACAGGTCTACTGCAGTGTTCCTCCTTTCTTATGTTCTCATGAACAATCATAAAATATGTACCTGAGAACATCGTAAAATATTGTACTGCCTCCACCACTGCCAAAATTTATTTGGGCCCATGGTTAATTATGTAGCAGTCACAGTCAATCAACAAGCACCAAACACAATGAATTATTGTGAAATGTTTGGAAGAGCGCAGAGGATAATACTCACTCCAGCATAAACAAAGCCATACTGACTGACGATGCCTCTACCACCCACTGCTTCAACCCTCGTATTTATTATTATTATTATTATTAGCAGTCATGAATGAGTTGACATTATTTATACTGTAGTTTAATAATGAACAAACAAAACACTCACCACTCGTAAGGCAGACGAACTCTGATGACTTGTGATGATTAAAAAAATTTAAATTATAATTCTTTATTTCTCTATTGATATTACATGCAGTTACTGATGACAGTTGAATGGAGATGATTATATGGAGTGTAACTGCATGGCATGAGACATACTTTCACCACCACACAAACAGCAATGACCGACTCGCACAGTGGCTGGAGACTGACTGACTGAGTGAGTGGCGGGTGGGAGGGCTGGCTGCCAGTTGTTATTATTATTATTGTTATTATTAATAACATGTATTATTATTAACATGTATGTATTTAATAACATGTTATAAATAATAATAGTACATATTAATAACATGTATGTTATTAAATACCATTGCCTCAATCACTGCCTCTACCACTCCAGTCACACTCAATCTACAAGCACCAAACACAATGAATTATTGTGAAATGTTTGGAAGAGCAGGGAGACTAATGTTTACTCCAGCATAAACACAGTCACACTGACGATGTGTCAACCACTCCCTCGTATTTTTGTACAATTTCCTTCTTCAATTATATCATATTTATTATTATTATTATTATTATTATTATTATTACTATTGTTATTATTAGCTGTAGCAGAAATGTTTAATTCTTTGCAGTGTTCAAGAGTAAACACATGATGTCACCGTCTAATACCTGTCCGAATAGCCATTCCAATGTGCAGTCATGAATGGGTTTACATTATTTATACTGTGGTTTAATAGCAAATAATGAACAAACAAAACACTCACCACACTGAGTGGTGGGAGGGCTGGCTGCCAGTTGCGGGGGTCGGAGGGAGGGTAGTAGGGACTCGCAGGTGGCGGGAAACTTAAATATGATTTGGCGGCTGGGAATTTGGTGGCTGGGAATTTGGCGGTTGGGAATTCGCAAATGTGTGAAGCCCGTGAAAGTTGAAAACGTGAATGTTGAGGGAGACCTGTATTAATATTATAATGGCCCATAAAGG